CACAGTACTTCAGCAAATAAGGTATCTGTTGATAACAGAGATGTGGCAGCATTTTTTCTTGGTGACGAAACTTAAATGTATGAAAGATAATCTTTTATGAGTTTCTCCCAAAAGATAATTCAGGATATTGACCAATTTAATTTTTCAAATTTGGGGCAAAATCTGTGATGGGGTCTGCAGCATTGAAACTTGGCACTTCATCAGCATAAGTCATTTGTTTGCTCACCAATTGTAGGGATGGCAGACGAGCTAGTCCTGTACACTAGCTCAGCACTACCAGTGGACTCTCTCCTCAACAAAATTCAAGGGACCATAGAAATTTTTGAAGAGTATTTATTAGTAGAGAACCATGTGCAGAAAAGATGAATTAAACAGAGAAAGCCATTGCAGGGAGAGTCTACTCACTCTACTGTACAGTATAGCACTCCACACTCTCTTAGCCTATACTGTAGTTGATATAAGTTCGATCAGATGTCGCTCTTGCTTACTCAGCACAATGAACCCGAGAGCAACGTGGAAGAGACAGAGACTTCGCCAGTCCGGTCGGAACCCCTGAGGCACTCTGAGACTCGTTGATTGACTTCACTTATCGTCGTTCGCAATGGAATGCTAACTGAAACATTGTCAAACTCGAATTCTGATTCTGATGCTGGGAATTTCCTCGCATATTCCTGTACGAAATGTACGCAGTTTTCCGGAAATTCGGCAAGAAAACACTTCCTGGGCAGCAATTCCATGGATACAATTCACATAAAAACGTGATAAGAAACTCGAGATTCAGCTACGTGCATAGGGATGTGTTACAGTTGTTACACCGCTAGATGATTAATACGTGACCAATATATACACAGTAAATCGAACAACATAAAGACCCGAAGTGAAAAATCAAAACAACGGAATGACGAATATACCGAAAGAGCTGCAATTCTAATACGCTTGAAAAAAAAAGTGATTACAGCATTTCACTCATTTCAATAATTTTCCTCTTTTGAATTTCCGGATAATGCGAGTGTTTCTTACATGAATGAATCTACTGTATCTCATCGACTTTATTTTTTTTAATGGAAAAATTTGAAATTTCCTTTACCTGTACTTCTTTAGCCAAATAAACAGAGATTCAATATCCAGGTGGAAAATTGGATTTTTTTTTAGCCCGGTTTAATCATGCTTGAAATTCAGCATGCTTGATGGCTTTTATTTTCTGGGTCTCTATATTCTTTTACCAGCAAACGTCTTGTGAATAAACTCAATCAGGGTTTCGAAACCAGCAGGCTCGTCTCATGCCCGCTGGAATCCTGGCGCCGGGTTTTGGGTGCAGTTCTGGTTCCCTGCCTTTCTGGTGGACCCAAGATTTTTTTTTTTTAATTTTCCCAAATCTTCTTGGTATTGTTTGTTTATTCTTAGTGACAGTGTATTTGAGATTATATTTTACAATTCTTCCAGCATCATTAGCCAGACTTATCATTTCTCTATAATAACGTAATCGGTGTAAGAGTTGATCTCAAAATATCTTGTCAAGATTATGTAGTTCTGCATCGTGTAAATGTGAATGTGTTGTTGTAAATGTGTTGTCTTGTAAGTGTGAATTGCCGCGCGCGTTCCTCAGTTGAATTGCAAACTATTCCAGGCCTTAGTTTGCTTTTTCTTTCTGCATAATTTTCATTTCTGGTTTGTTATATATTTTTAGTCAGTGATCTTTGCGTTTTTGGCAATAAGCGTTGCTTCTTCCTCTCACAGTGGAAATGTACCAAAACCGAGTACTTTACCTAAACCTAATGCCTTCCAAGAAGTAATTTTTGTGTAGATTTAATTTACATATGCATAAATTACCTTTGGCATTTTTACAAGCGCAATTTTTTGAGTTTGCTGCATTTCCTTTTGCTTTTACAAATTTCAGTTCGTTGTTGGGGTACTTGTAAAACCAGCAAATACAGTGGACTCTTTTTACGACGAAACTGAAGGGACCAAAAAATTTTCTGACCGGGTTTTTTTATAGGACCCCTATTGCATGGGGAGTTAAACCTTTGGGACCACAAAAGAATTATTTTATAGAGAAAATCGTTGTAGACAAGACTGTTGTTGATGAGAGTGTCCAACAGCATGTATAATCGATAAAATGTCTGTGTCTTGTCGATTGAAAATGCTTCATCGTTTAAAAAGCAATCCAACTTACCAACACTTTTGTGGGCACTGTATAACTAGCAAAGACTAATCCACCTAGCAAAGATTCGTCCCCCAAATTTTCCTGTTGCTATAAAGAAGCAATCTCTCTCTCTCTCTCTCTCACACAAATTTTCTGTCTGATACTGTACATGATGTTTACCTGGCGTATATTTTGATCATGAGTAACGAACTCACGACTCGAATGAACTTTTCCTGCATGTATGGACGTTGCAGACATTTTAAATTTGATCAGTTCCGAGTATTTCTGAAAGCATGGTATTGCGATTGTATTATGCCCCGCACAGCGGACCATGTCGGGCAGTGAAACTTCTAGCTGCGGAGCTCCAGCTCAACGTGGAAATCAATTTTAAATTTGATCAGTTCCGAGTATTTCTGAAAGCATGGTATTGCGATTGTATTATGCCCCGCACAGCGGACCATGTCGGGCAGTGAAACTTCTAGCTGCGGAGCTCCAGCTCAACGTGGAAATGTTCGGGTAGTTAGACTTCAGAGCCCTCGTCGACTTTCTGCTGAAAGACCGACACTCCTTGAAAGTGAATAACACTTCTTTGTAAATATCTATTATAGCACATACCTTAATTTATTTGCCCACAACAGATACTGTATTTTATAGAGACAAAAAATACTGCAACTATACTCGTATCTAAGCCGAAGCGGTCACTCCAGAGTATCTGTAATATGGGTGAAAACGTGAAATGTTCTCCAAATATCCAGTTTTAATGGAGGAAAGTGCCTCAATCGACTTCATTACCGTAATTAAGCTAGTCTTTGGTTATAGATGCACAATTTTTCCCCACAGCGTTTCCATTTTTTACGCATCACAAAAAGCTTGAATTTTTCCAAATGTATCTCATAATTTTTGCTAACTTTCAGATGAATCCGATCCATACAGTCCCGACTTTGGACGACGACGGATTTGTGCTTTGGGACAGGTGAGAGGCCAAATTTGCTTTTGATATTCAAATACGGATTACACAACACGATTCTTGCTTTTCATATAGCCATGCTATTTACGTTATAGACTACTTGTTCATGTCCTTTCTGTCGCTTAACATGGGGGTTCTGGGGGTTTTCGCTCGACACTAGCTGTTGGCGAACACGAAGTTAGACCCTTGAAACTTACGGTGGTAAGCACGCAATTACGTGAGTCGTCGTTTTATTTCCTTTTAATGTACAGCGAGAAAAATAATTACGATTCTTTGTCTGATTCATCACGCTTTTGTTCAATTTACGAGCGGCATCATTTGAAAAATGGAAATATTTCATAACTGACAAGGTTACCTTGTCCAGCGTATTGTTGAGGGGAAACAAAATTTAGAATCTCACCTCTTCTACCTCAAATTACTTTGGAGGATTCATAGGTTCAATCAAAACGTTGCAATGGTGCCCTTTGGATTTACAAGTTCGTTCGTCATAATCATCAAAGCCACTATAAGGAGTCATGATTTTTTCAAATTTCTGATCCGACACGAGAAACGTCTTACGCATCATTTCAAGAAGATATTTGCATTAAAAATAGTTGACGAACTCTTGAGAAAGCAAGCAATTTGATTCAATTGAGTATGGTTGTCAGATCCGAAGGATACGCATTATGAATACTGTATTGTTAAGGTATCGTAATTTCAAGATATTCTAAACTATCTAAAGAATATCTTGAAACTAGGGAAGAGAAAATTGCGATAAGTATACGATATACGGTGTTTAAATCATTATATGCACGTATAGCACTTTGCATTCACTTTATTGTGACCTTGATGAATTTATTTATTGGGAGGAAAGGCTGAAATATTGATTAGCAAATACTGTAGTCGGACATCATACGCAGTTCTTTACCTTCAAAACTTATACGCTCCTCCTGAAGCAATTAAAAATTAGGAAATAAGCTGGAAGCTGATAAAACGTGAAACAATGAACCCTCTTAAGTTTATTCCAATTTCTAACACGTTTTTCATGATTCATCCCACGGAATTCTTTTTTAGTGGTTTAATTTACTTTCATCAGTACCCAGTTCTACGTCTTGGAGCGACGCATTTCGTAGCTTCGCAAAGAGATAAAAAAGTTCTGCAAAACCCAACCGACCTACCTGAGTAACTTTTTAGGCCACCTACCTGACGTCCAGGAGTGTTTTGTAACCGCCTAATGTCGTAGTAACCTTGGTACAGGTTACAAGGCCACTCTAATAAATTTGTTTTCTTATACTGTACAGTGAAATCTCATTACAACAAACTTGTGATGGGGACTCCAGAAAAAGTTTGTTATAACAAATAATTTGTTGTAACAAGATGCTTGAAAATTTTGCTTGATTGGAAGATTTTCTAAAAATTAAACCTGCTTAAATTTAACATTATCCTTTTTTGTAAACTGTTCAGCTGTTTTCTTACACTAATTTAAAGCCCCCTTCTTGTGTATTTTGTCATGTTGTTTTCTGCATGGAGAGTACAATTTTGTCGCTTCTGCATAATAAGGCATTATCTTGTAACAAAAATCCCGTGGAACCTGAAAACAATTTCAATAACCAAATAATTGTTAGGTTTAGAGTAAAATTGTGGCCATATTACATTTTCTGTACGTTAAACTTTTTTCATGAACAAGAATTTCTAACTAAATACGCAGTAATTTGTGAAACACTCATTTAATATGAAAAAGAATTTGACGTGAATATTTATTTGAAAAAAAAAATTGAGATCTGATCTTTTAGAAAAGATTTCTTATGCAATGATTCTACCAGTATTTTAATGCCTGCTCTTTTATGCCCTTACGTTTTTTATGGTTAATTGTGCTCAGTGTGCATTTTTTCCTCTGCGTTTTTCAAGAAAATGCATGGGCCGCACAAGTTTGACTTGACAAAGTACAAAAACATTACGGAGTGGATGAACAAGTGCCAAGCAGAGATGAAAGACTACGACGAGATTATGGAGACTGGCGCCCAGCTGTGGTTCGACGACTTGTTTGCCGTCATTGCGGAAGGCAAAGAAATCAAGTGAAATTGAGTGTGACTTCACTTTCCCCTGTGGAGAAACACCCGGAAAATCTATGCATTGCTATTTGTTTATTCCTTCGCTTTTCGCGAATTTTTCCGCAGGTCAATTGATAATAAACGTGAGTCCGGCAGCGAAAAAATCAATTATGATTCATTCTCTGCGTACGGTCAAGGTTGAAACGAACTGCTGCTTTTGTTGCCTGAAAGCAATCATAGTTGGATTATGCCTTTGTTGGGATTGCAAAAACGAAATGAGTTCGCACTTTTGTCGCCGATGCTAATGATTATGTTGTATGATGATTAAGGCCGTGACTTATTCTCTTCAAGGTTGTGCGAATGGCGCATTCACTATGTATTTTAATGACAGAGCTCTGCTGGACGTAAATTTTACTCAAGTTGATGGAAATTGGAAGAATACACGCGGAATATCTTCAATGAATGAATTTAAAAGCTTTCTTTTGCCACATTGACTATTCTGAAGGCTTGCATTTCAACTTTCAATCCAGTTCATTCAATTAGTTTTCGGGTTGATCGATTGATAGTGACTGAGAATATGCGAATTTAAAAACAAAAATCAGTGATGTTGAACGCATCGGATGAGACGATAAAATAGACCAGCTTTCAGCCTGCATTATTCCAAGAACGATTTTTAGAATATTTTAAAATGTATCAAAATATTGAATCTCAATAAAGCATTTTTTAAATCTCATGTCTGTGATCTTGATTATATTGTTATGGTGTGGTGAGATTGTGAGAATGCATGGCGCTTGCAAATTTATTTTTTCAATCCATGGAGGGGCTTCAATAAGTCATGTCCTAGGCTATAATTTCCCAAGAATCCCAACTGAGAAATCATTGATTCAATTGTCTTAAAAAGTGCAACAAATCACGAAAGGTGTCATCTTCACGAAAAAAAATCAGCAGGGCGGACAACTTGGCAAAATGCAAAAACTCGTCAAATATTTCAACTGTAAAGATTAAAAACAAAGGACTGATTCTTTGAAAATGTTTTTCTGATTTTGATGAGATCAATAAGAAAATGCTCCTACTTTCAGTGTTCGAATTTTTTTGATTCAATTATTCTGCAAAATTATCCTTCTGTAATCTTTACGATTTAATTAAATCTCCGCAGTTTAATTAGGCCAATTAAATCTCCGCAGTTTTCGGCATGGCGCTCGAAAATTTATTGTTTCAAAGTTGATCCTTGGAGGGGTTTCAATAAGTCATGTCTTAGGCTATAATTTTCCAAAGGTTTTCAGATACAGCGAGATCTCAAGATGCGGACACAATTGGTGCATCAAGAGTGTCCCTAAGTCAAATTGTCCCTAAGTCAAGTCTTGTTCTCCCATAGACTTACATTATATAATTTTTAATTGGTGTTTTATGGGAGAAATATTCTTCAGAATTCCCTGAAAAAAATTGTTTGCCACTTGAATTTGAATCAGTGAATACATTTTCAACTCAATAAGAACATTTGGAGCATTGCATAGTGTATCTCTGTACTGTACATTGGAATGTTGGCATCTACAAAAATAACTTCAAGTTAGAAAAGTAAAAGTCCCTCTATGCTGGAGGTAATTTTTAAAAATTAGCTGAAGGGATGGTAAATTGGTGAGAGAAATACCCAAGAACTTTTCTTACATCAATTTCAGGGTTGGAAATATCTGTTTCTTGTAATTTGGCCTGAAATGTATTTGCAATTTTATCACAAAATGTCTCTATGTTGAGTCGATGTCCTCATGTTGGGCGTTTTTTATTAATTTTCTCTGGGAAAATAAGTGTCCCTATGTCAAATTTTCCGCAGGTCAAGGTGTCCACATGTGGGGGTCTGACTGTATGTTGTTCAGTATAATCTGTGCAATAATCAAACTCATTTTTATGAGTTCAAAAGCACAAAATAAAAAAAGGATGTAGCCGCCTCAATAAAATTAAAATGGTTTTCAGGTTTGAAATTACTGTACCACAGGAAGACGCGTTACCAGCATAAAATTAATGTCAATTAAACCTGCAAACATTCAAAGTTCATCGTCATGCTTCGAATCTACTATAGCACTGCTGCTGCTGCTGCTGACGGAGCAGAAGCGTGGCTCTTCCTTTCCATTGTCTGAAAACTGAGGTTACTTTAATGACTCGGCAGGTTTCATTCTCTTACTCACCTTCTTTATTCAGAAACGTGTCGTGCACACGATGATGCCGATATAGTGAGTTCAATCGCAATTTCCCCCGCATGCAAAAATCAGCTAGGCTTGGCCGGTAGAATCTCCGCAGTTTTTTTATCATTTTTTATTCCTGAGTACTGAATTTCTCATCCGATTGGTCGGCAGAAGGAAAAGAAATGAAGCTTACAAGACACAGATTCCATCGAGGAGCTTTATCTTCTACCGTGCGGCGTGTGGGAAAGATACTGTACATACGCGAACTCGCACATGATGTGCGATGCGGTGAATAAGGAACGCCACGTGGAACTGCGCAGTTTCAGGCTTTTCCTTTGATAACCCTCACGAGGGTGACGGGGTGCATGAACTCTTCTTTGACTCACCATCAGCGTGACTTCGCGCAGCCTTGATGGGGGAATCCTCTCTGAAGCGGAAGTATTTGAGGGGTTCCCCCATAGGCGAGCTCCGGTCAGTTGAAAAGCGAGGACTCGGGAGGTGGACGTGGTGCGCGAGGAACAGAAAACGAATCATTCGCCCGTTTCTATTGTTGAAAGACTCCGCTGTTGACTGCCTGAAAACATTTCCCTTCCACTCTCAACATCCTGTAACTTCTTTTTTGTTGTTGTTGGAAACAATCTCGTCACTGTTTTCGAAAAGTATTACAGTATTATTCACTCGAGTGTACTTTGCGCACATTTGTTTTCTCAAAATTGAGAGGGGAAAAAAGGGTTTGAGATATGTCATTGGCAGGTGTACATTTTTCAAAAAGTTTTACAAGTTTAGGAGTGCATTTTACTCAATTCTAATCAGAAATGCAGATCAATTTAATAAAAAATCATTTTGAGAAATCAATCGAAAATTTTGTTGAATTGAGGTTCAATTCATGTCTAAATTCAAATTTGGGTGTTCTTATTTTCAAAATATTGCAGTTTTAAAGTCACTAAAAATGTGGTGTGCATCTTACTTGAGGATGTGTGGTACTCAAATTAATATGGTAATCATAAGGTAGGGCGACAGTAGGAAAACGAGTACAGTACAATGCGGTATTTAAATTCTGGAATCTTATTTTTCTTCATAAAGAAGATTGCTTCCTGGTTCCAATGGCCTTGTTGTACCTGATTTTACCCGTGTGTTTCACAAAATGACAAATAGGGTTGAACCTGAAGGGACTCAAGAAAATTCAAATGAGGCAATTTTTGAGTGAGGGAATATACCATGATTGGCATAGGTCATGCTTTTCTTGAATATTCATAGTGAAGGAGTTCTACATTCTCAGATGTCCAAAATGCAGGAAGAGGCCAAATCGCTTGTGTGGAAAGCAGTAAAATAAAATGTGTACTGTATATTCTGTATCAGTGTTATAAAACAGTTTTCATGAACCCATGGTCTGATTTTTTCAAAAAGCAGAAACGTTTCAAATATGTGCCATAAAGTATTTCAGGAAAAAAAAATTTGTGAGTGTGCCAAGATTGTTAAAATTTTTCCAGCCCGCAGAAATTTGTTTGCAAATTTGCCAGTCTGTGGGCCAAGAACTGCAAGAAGGTCGGGGAAAACGGTCTTACAGAGCTTTCGATTTGAAGAAAATTTCAAGTGTTTTTTTATACTCACGAATTATGATTGGTTTGTGTATACGTGAGAATGCAAAAACGTGAGACATCATATGATTGGTTTGTGTATACTGTGCGTGAGAATGCAAAAAGTGAGACACTCATACCTTTCAGAAAATGTTTGATTTGAAAATCTGATTATAGAGGAACATTTCATAATTTTCAAAGGTTTAAATATCACAGAAAAGAGCTTAGTCTATTTCTAAGGAGAAGCTTTTATTTAGATTGGTTTCTTCATTACAGGTGCACTCTCTCTCTCTCTATACAAAACAACAAAATTCAAGGGACCAAAAAAAAAATCGTTGTAATGAGAATTTTGTGGTAGAGAGCCCCTATGACATAGTGACCAAGAGAACCAAGCTGGACCCCAGTATAATTCATTTTACAGTACAGAGAAAAGCATTGTAGACTAGTTCACTGTAGAGAAGTCTACATTTAATGCTAGAGCAGGTTAAATTACCTGGTCTTTTTGAAATGTGGTACAGTATAAATAATGATGAAAAACTCAACCTGTGTACATTACTTGGGAAGGCAAGGAAAAGCAAAAATCGGCGATTTCACAAGCTCAAGTGCAAATTTAATGCGGAAGGAGCAGTTGTCTTGAGTTTACGCGGTCGAGTGCGAGGAATTTTGAGAGCACTGTCCCGCTTGTTATTTTACATTTTTTAATATCCATAATACAATTTTTGATTTCCGGTGATGTTTACAGGACTTATAAGAATACATCGACAATCATCATGGGAATCACGTTGTATTACATGTCTCCGAGTCCACCTAGCAGAGCGGTAGATTTTCTCATCAAAGAGCTGGAATTGGACGCTGAATTGAAGCAAGTCAATCTGTTGGAAAAAGATCAATTGAAACCGGAGTTCTTGGCTGTGAGAATACAATGATCATATTCGATCATTTTCAATTGCAAAGATTTGAAATGTCTTTGAATTATTCTTTTACAGCTGAACCCGACTCACACAATTCCGACCTTGGATGACAACGGATTTGTTGTTTGGGACAGGTAAATTCATCACGAAGTGATACTTTTTCTGCATGAGAAGAACAATTTCGAAAATATTTCCTTTATATCTTATTGTGAATTTTATTTATGGTAGAGGTACAGTATATTGACTAATTTCAAAGAAACCGAGCAGAATTTCCTCAAAGTTCATCAATTTTATCATCGCAGCGAGTGTCTCATCTTCCCTCTTTCGAATTTATGTCCAGACTACACCAGGAGTTTCTTGAATGCCAATTTTTTTTATGATTGCAGTCACGCCATTCTGCAATATTTGGCATCGAAATACGGAAAAGACAGCACTTTGTACCCGAAGGATCCTGAGAATCAGGCCACTGTGAACAACAGATTGTTTTTCAATGCGACAACTTTTTTCCCGAGAATGCGAGATTACGCTGTAAGTGATACATTTAAAAAAATCCTAATCCTTCTAATGAGTTTAATAACGTCACCGTATTTTCCACATAACAGGCTCCGGTTTTCTGGGGAAGATCGGATACGTTTTCAGCTGACCAAAGAAAGCTGGTGAGTTTGGCCTCAGGATTGATTGATGACGCCCAAATTGCACAATGATTTTATTTGATGAATGGAGAACTCATTACCGATTGTGTAAATGTTTTCCAAGGTCCAAGAATCTTTGAAATGGCTGGATGGATTCATTGAAAGCAGTGGGGGCTTTGTGGCTGGTCCGACGTTGACAATCGCGGATTTTGCCGTTGCTGCATCGATTTCCAGCGTTGATGTGAGTATGGACCAGATGTTGTGAAAGGAAATTCAACCCATAATGTGCGACTAGAAAAATGTCGGCATGGAGGCAATAATATGCCAGCAAACAGATAATAAATGTATGAATATAATGCCCACATATGCATATGATGCCAGCAAAGAAATAATGACTATTCGGCAAGATGAGAATGACAAGTGAAAACAATGTCTGGGAAGGAAATGCTGGTTAAAATTGCCATTGGTGTGTGGAAGTTCTAATGTCACACAGAGCATACATTTTCAATTTGATACACAGATTGTCGCTCAGAGAACCATATGCCACACAGGTTGTCACACAGAGAACCATATGTCACACAGATTGTAGCACAGAGAACCGTATGTCACACAGAGAATACAATGTACTGTAAGTGGATAAAACAGCAGTGTTCCCAACCATTTTTGGGCCCATGGACTGGCAAAGTTCCATGAAATTGTTTTGGGCCGAAAAATTTAAAAAATGTGCCGAATAAAATAATTTTGTTTGAAAGGATAGATGGCAGGTATTTGAAACGTTTCTGCTTTATTCTTGCAAAAACTAAATTAAGAACCAATGACGCAGCCAAACAGTGGATTGAATTCAAAGAATTAGAAAGGTGGGCTTGAAGAAAGGTTTCTCAGAATGAAAAACGGAAAAATGTATTTCAGCAGGTGAGAATTTGTCTAAACTCTGAAGCATTGTTCGGAGAAAACCCAACTTTTATTTTTCATCAGATAACTTCTGATGAAGTGCTATTGTCTTTCCAAAATTTTAAATGGGGTTAATAGACTTTTTTTTACTTTTGATAAATGTATTATGCTTAGGAAAATTGCCCACAAACTGACCAAAAAAACGTCTACAGACTGGCACTGATCCATGGACTTTGGCTTGGAGAAGACTGCTATAGAAGAATTAGCTGAGAAAAAATGATAAGCCATGCAAGAAAGACGTAAATTGAAGGAAAAGGATCAAAATATTCTGTAAAATTGTTTGCAGAAACGGAGTTGGATTATTCACTTGAATAAATTCTGAAACTCCGTCTGAGCTAGGATTTCTTTCACCTGTCCAGAAGAATTATTGCGACTTGCTTTTCATCGGAGCTGATTTAAATAATTCATCACTTCCAAAAAATTGCCCAAAAGCAGTAAAAAAATAAAAACGAATTCAAGCTACTGTTCTACCTGCAATACCGTATATATTTTTTCATCTCTGGTCCGTATTTTTCAAGTCGGGCATTTTATCATCCATCCTGGATTGTAAAAATGTAACGTGTATCTCATCTACACTGGATTCAATATACAATATAAAATAACGCCGTGGGAGAAAATTTTGCACGAAAAACTAACGCAAAAAAGACGAAATTGAAGGTTGAGAAAAAGATCAAAAAAGTTCGTATCAATTTTAAATACAATGCTCTACGGGGAAATAAAATAGTGAATATCACTTTTAAATTAAAAGTGGAACTTGGCATGATATAGACCTGGATATCTGGGCTTTTCCGTCGAAAATTTAATTTCGAGGTCAACCATTTCAAAGTTGGTTCCATCGCTCAGTTTACAAGTTTTAAATTAATTTAAAAATTATAAATTCACCCATGAGCTGAGAGCTTTTGAAAATGCCTTTATTCGTATAAGTTCCCCGCGGCGTGAAAAAGTACCTTATTATTCATGCGTTGGTGGACGAGGTGTTTCCTGACCGTAGACAGGAAACAAAGGTCATTTTCCATTTCCCTTGTGGCTTTGTCCTGAAATGCATCATTTGGTTTCCGCCTATTTTAGGCATACAGGCAGAAAGTCGAATGCTAAGGAACAAGAATAGTTATGTAAGCATCTAAAAAGCCAACGAAAAAACATCCCAGCAACTCGTGGCAGTTTTGTATCCATGGTTACTTCATCGATTTTCGATACAAAAATACATTTTCCCGGTATTTGCCTGATTATCATATGCGATCCATCAACAAATTATGATCAGTTGTTAGTGTTACTGTATTACGAATTTGATAACTTTATTAATTAAAATCTGAATTCTCCACAGCAATCCAAAACATTTCTCAGAACAAATACAGTATCTTTATAAATCCTTAATGATACTTTCTAAACTCTTCTGAATAATTTAGTAATGCTTGTGATCCTTCAATGACGTGATACCATCACCAGATAAGGTTTGAGGTAATTTTTCGAGATAATATGAGTGAATGAAACCTTGTGGGAATTTTAATAGACTGTACACCATTAGCGACTTTGTCGTTCTTCCAACTCCCAAAGTCCCAAGTAGGGTGTGTGGAAGATTTTATAAAATATGGGCGCTATAAAATCACGCTATCAATCCTTTTTAACAACATAATATAACAAATTTACTTTAAAATTCTTTACCTTTGCTTCAAGCACTGCGTAAAAGATTTGCGCGCGGAAGTGAAACAAACCTCATGGCTCGCATTGGGATTCGGGACTTGATTCGGCAAAAAATTAAAAAAAAACGCCGTATGCACAAATAAAATGAGATCAATGAAACTTGTTTGTACTGTATAATTAATCCGAGGGATTAACTTTTTTTCAGCAAATGAAAGGGACGATCCACGACTTCGAATTGGACTCTTACCCTAACATCCACCAGTGGCTCGAAAAATGCAAGAAGCTCAAGAATTACGACGAATGTCTCGACAAGGGGGCGAAGGTGTGGTTCCAATTATTTTCGAAAAAATCTGAAGGAAAGGAGATAAAATAGCTTTGGTGTTTGTGTGTGTCTGAGGACCTAATGAGGTACTGTATCGCATTTAAACTGTTGATGTCATTTCTGCACTACTGGATTCCGCCCGGGGAATAAAACAAATGTCCGTCACCTTCATCGTTGATGTCTCATATTTCATTCCTCCCAAAAATCCTCTTACAAACGTGTTAAAATCTGATAATACCTCTTATATATAAAAGCTTGTTCAGTATTTGTTATGACACGGAAATCTGAATCCCGCCTATTTTTTAAAAGGTGTTTACAATTTATTCGACACGAGGATAAGCACCGTTTCGTCGTCAGCTTATCGCACGACATCGTTGGCCTGTCAACGAGAACACTTTTCCCATGGTCTTATTTTTCCATCCTCGAGCACAGATTCGATACGAGTGGAATATTTTCAATTTCATTTTTTCTGCTTTTTTCGCGAAAAACTAACATTTTTATCTGGGTTTCCCCGGGTCGTAGCGTTCACGAGAGAGAACTCGGGAAAGGTCGGAGTTCTGGATAAGTTCACGATCAGCATCAGTGATGAGAAATTTCGTGGAATTTTTTAGATTTCTTCAAAAGATTTTTAAATTATGTTCAAATAAAAAGCATTTTAGAAAAAATAATTCACGTCGAGATTCCAGAAACATCGCGAATTTACAGCATTGATCTAGGAATACATTGTCTGTGAGCAAGAATTTTATACAGCACGGTTTTCTTAAAAACAATACTGTATTCTGCTATTGCATAAGATTTGTTGGATTTGTGCGTGGAAGACGGGTTTAAAAATGTTATAAACGAAAGTTGTGATTAAACTTGGGGCACTTGAGATAAATTGATGGCTTTCTGGATTTTCTGAAACATTTTACACCTTACGGGCTTTTTAGTCAGTCAATTTCTTTGTGTAGTACCACGGGTGATAAACGATTGAAAAAAGTAGCTAAGTGCCTTGGAGGCCAACAAAATTTGCATTTCAAGCATGCATGAAACGCGAAAATTCTGAATTTATAGAATGCTGTAAGTTTCCGATTCAAAGTCGAGAAATGGGTTCAACTTGGTGAAATCGTCTAAGGAAAGCTCATTAAATTACGAAATGCGAAACACGGAGATTCGATGACACACTAGACACTACATTTTTCTTTCCACAAAAAATTACTAAAATGGCTTGGTTTAATTTTAAAATGTTTGCTCTGATCGAACAACGCTTTATCCAACTTATTTTATTACTGGAATAATCTCTAAAAATTGATTCGCAGCAGATGAATTCCTAGCATTGAAAGATGCTCCCTGCTTTAAATTCAAGACACGCAGAAAATTACGTCCCGGATAATGCCGCAATGGAAAAAAAAAATAAACGAGAACTCAAGAATGCGTCTGGCCTTGAATCCCGAAGCTTCCAGAATAAGTGGAAGCAATTTTTACCTGCCAGCGTAGCAGCCAAGTAAAAAGAACGTTTCATTAATCATTGGAGGGGATTCTCTAAATTCCAATCGTGACACAGTAAAATTTTCCATTTATAGTCTAAAAACGTCCGAAATCGATTCATTGATCCACCATCGACTAACGGAAATTGAATATAAATGTAAGAAGTCTCTGCGTGCTTCTAGCTTAAGAAGACTGTCCCTAAAATATTGCACAATTTACATTAATTTCCCAATCATGCTTCAGCAGTTAGTTCGGTATTTTTCAGATTTTCAAGACATTTTTCAGTCCTCGGCACAATGAAGAATGAAAGCTTTCGAATTACTGTACAGAATTTTTTTTCAAACTCATGTCTGAGTGTGCAGCGAATTTATCAAGGTGGTTACAAATTTTAAATTATATATTGTTCTGCGTATTGTCTCCCTCACATCTTGTAATTTTTTTAATGTTCTCAATGATAGAAATATTCAATCATGCACAGCATGGAGGCAATGCTGGTATGACTGCAATTTACACCGATTTCCCAAGATTGTTCCAGGAATTTGGTATTTTTCCGATGTCTGAGAAATTTATGAGCACATTATTCCAAACAATAATGGGAAGCCAAAATTTTCCACAACAGAACTCATTTTTTTCTACTCGTGTCAGCATGTGCATCGACGTTTCCAAGGCGGTTAAAAATTTAAAATTATTTTTTGCGCAAAATATTGTCTCCCTCAAATCTTTTAATGTTTTCCAAATTTTATCAATGTCATAAATGTTCAACCACGCAAAGCACAGATACAATGCTGGTATAAATGCAGCATTTTGCCACGAAGTGAAATTTGTCAAGACTACCAGACCTGAGGCCGTTCAAAAAAATCCGACATTAACCACGTACCTTTTGT